TCCCTGGCTGGCAAAATACGAGGGCTTCGTCCCCGCTCTGTGGAACAACGCAGACGCCAACGCCATCGGAATGGCCCTCTACTCGCAGAGTCCCGCCGTCGATGCCCGGTCCTTGTTGATGTCTGGGATGCGGCCTCCTAAGTACCTTGACAAAGAGGACGTGGATGGCATTTTCCGAAAACTTCACGACTCGCTCCGAGACGAAGTCCTTGACGGCAAATACCGTGACACGGTCGACCACAACGTGGAAGAGTGGGTAGCAAAGGCGATCTTGGTAAGGGGTCTTGCCTTCAACGGGAGCTCCGTCCCCGAATTCTTCGAAGAATATGAGGGATATGCGGCTGAGTGGGGCAGACGCCTAACCACCGCAAACTTCAACGCCAACCGGTGCGGCTTTTACACGTCCTACTACATTCTTGAGGCCCATATCATTGGGCTGAGAACAGGACACCTTTCTCCGATACTCCCCAACGATGTGTCCGGGGAGGGGTTCAAGTTCCAGGTGGGGCTGCTCGCACAGCACTGCGGGATATTGCAGGCCATGCGGAGAAAGGCCGGGTTCGATCCTGCCGCGCGCCTCAAACGGGCTATGGACACGATACGGGAAGGCATTAAGAAGGGGTACGTCTACACCCTCAACGACCTCAGCAGTATGGACGATCTGATCTACCGGACGTCCACCGTTGCCTACGACACCTGCTTGGCCGACCGTCCTCAAACCCAGGATGACATCAAACAGGAGCTGTCCGACCCTGTACCAAGGAAATACCGCTTCCGACCCCGCGATCGCCATCGACCCGGAATTCGCCTTACACCAGGCCCCGGCGTGAAGGACGAAGACGAGCCCGACTTTGCTGGATCAGCGGAGGATGAGCTGGGATCGGATGGTTCTTCGCACGAAGATGACGAGAAGCCTGACGACCTTGACGAGCCCATGGGCGACGACGAGGAGGAGATCCCTCCCCCTCCGCCACCGCCCCCGGCTCCTCCTGCGCCGCCTGTCCCGGTAGAACCGGAGACTCCCGTGGTGTCGCATGCAGGCGTCAGTTCTGGCGATGCTGTGCCAACTCCTCCTCCTCCTCCTCCCGCTCCCATTGCGGCAGGCGTTACAACGACTGGGGATCCGTTTGAGGAAGAGGACATGGCCATCAATACTCGTGTCCCTGACACCGAGTCCGAGCTGGAGGGTGAGTCCGACCAACCCAAGGCCAGGAGGACATCTCGTGGTCGGGTCCCCGCGCCCGAGAAAGGGCAGGGGGGCGTTCAGGTCCCGCCTAGCGGGCAACCCAGCTCTAAGAGCATGGCCCAGCCTGCCCGTCCATCCCCGGTCCCCGCGAGAAGCGGTGTGGAAGGTGGGGAGAGAAGGGGCAGGACCAAGGGTTTCTACACCCAGAAGGATCCTTTTACCGGCGAGGACGCGACTCCCCGAGTTCGTCTTCGATCGGGCGGTCCCGGAACTCCTGCGTCCCCACCACGGGATGCCACCGGTTCCTTGGGCGGCCATGGCGGCTATGACCCGCGCGATGACGACAACGACGAGTGGGAGCTTCCCCCGGGTGTGCCTCGGACCACTCGTGCGGCAAATGAGTCGCGGCCCCGCCGAGATGACGATCGGTCGAGGACCGCGCTTGGGGCCCGCGAGGATCGTCGCGGTCCTAAGGGTGAGGGGAAGGGTCGAGGAAAACATCGACCTGGCAAAGGTGGACGCGAGGATCCTGGCCCGCCCCGACAAAGGGATGATCGTGGCAGGGATACCCGCGGAGGCCGACGCGATGATCGCCGACCTCCTCCACGTCATGAGGAGACCTCCGAGAGGCGCGGTCCGGGGCGAGATGAGCGCCGCGGACGTGATGACCCGGGTGATGACCGTCGCGATCGCCACCGGGACCGGCGCAGGGATGACCGACGTCACCAATCAGATCCCCCTCCGCCTCGCCGACCTCCGGCTGGTGACCACAATAGGGGTGGTGGTGAGGATCGCCGTCGGGATGGAGGAGGTGATCGAGGTGACCGTGGTGGACGCCGGAGAGACGACGTGCCCAGGGACCGGGAAGAACCTGGTTCAGGGTGGTAGGCGGGTACCGCAATCAGCATCCGCCTTAGAAGGGCGAGGATAGTACGTGTGTCGCCGAAAAACGCGACCGCGCCGGTCCTCCTCTCGCCTATGCGGCGCTGCTGGGGGTGATGGTCTCCATTGCCCTGTACCGCTGATCCGGCGTTGCTCGTGTCCCTCCCGCACCGCTGCCGTGCGCGCCGGAGACGGTTCCCCTGGCGATCCTGTGTGAGGCTGAGACCGCACTAGAAGTGCCGGGCCGGCCGTAGCCGGATATTTTCACACCAATTTCGGAACTTCCGTTTCTAATTTCCTCCCAACTCGACTACTCTTCCAACCACTCCACGGCGTGCAGTGAGGCGCGGTAATCCAGATAGGGTCCCCCTCCGCATGGTGTCGTCCCATGACAACGCATGAACGGCACGAGAGGAATCTTCGTCTGGTTCCTCCAATATGTCTTTGTTCACTCATGTGGTCCACTCGTCAAATAATCCTGTCGCCCCGATAATTCGGGGTGGTGGCGGGATTTTAACTGGGGCCCAGGTGATGCCGTTTGGCTCACCTCTGAGTTGACACCGGCAATTTTGGTTGGTCCCTTTCGTCGTGAACTCAACTGTCTCGCATCCTTTCTCTCGTCCAGATATCGGATGAGGGGGGTGTGTTTTGTTCACGTGTTGTTTCATCATGTGGCAAAACGGCCGAATGGCCGTTTGGCTCAAGTTTTTGGGAACTCCCGTCAAGTTCCCCTCGGACTCGCGTGCGAACGCCATATCCTGGCATCGCTCTTCGTCACCGCAAAAGGCTTTGTGGTGCCGCGGCGCTTTGGGGGTAGGAGGTGTTCGGTGGGCCGTCGAGGTGTTCTTGGGCCTGTCCCTCAAACTACTGTTTTGCAATCCCATTTCTAACCTCCCCAAACCTGATCTTCTTCAACCGTCACTCCCACAACCTGGTCATCAGCACCTTCTCCATTGTGCGTTGAGACTGGGTTCTTTTGGTACTTCGTGGATTACGTGTACCTCTTTGATTCCCTGGGCTACTTCGTGTTCGCCCAAAACCGCACTAAAAAACCACCCACCCTGGGGAAACGGATCCGGTTTTTCAAAAGAACAGAACAATGGTTGAAAATAATGGACAAGGAATCAATCCCTAGACATGTGTGTGTGTGTTGGGTCGGCAGTTTGGTGGCCCGCTTCCAAAAAGAGACCACTGAGGGCATGCTCCAATTCGGGCTCCCTTTTTTTTTCACCCTTCATACTTGTTTTTTCAACCCTTCCTTTTTTTTTAACCCTCCGACCTTCTTGGAACCTCTCAACGGGGACCTTGTTTTTCTAACCCTCAGGAGTCCTTTTTTTCCAACCCTTGAAATTGTTCTTTTCACCCTCAACCTTGCTTTTTTCACCCGGAACCTTTCTTTTTTCACCCTCCCCCCCTGCCTTTTTCACCCTCGGCCCTGGTTTTGTTAACCCTCAAACTTTGGTTTGGCGCACTGGACAGCAGCTTTGGTGTGTAACAGGCAGAAGTTGTTCAATTTCTTATTGGTTTTTTGTCCTCGACCTTGCTTTCATCATCCCCGACTGTTTTTTACATCATCGGATTGAGTTAATCAGGGCAGTTTGCATGGGAAGATAACGATGGGTCACGAGTCACTTAGACAACGGGCTGGACAACGGTTGCACTCTGGTTATTGGTCCTATGTTCCTCGCCGCGTTGCTGTTTTTAATTGGAGTTGTGAGCTTATGGCCCCATCCCACCTCTTGTAACTTCTCCTCAATAATGCTTACCGTAGTTTCAGCCTTGCTTCTTTGTATCTTGAGTTTAAGTGAAGTTGTTCAGCGCATAGGTTATCCGTACACGGTTTGCTAGGTAGGCGTATTGATGCGGGCTGAAGCAGATGCTACTCAAGGCAGAAACGATGAAGGGAAGTGTTTGGGAGGTAGATAGGTTGACTGCGACCGATATGTGGACATCGCGTGCTTAAGGGGAGCTTACTCCAGCAGCGTTCGTGCGACTTGTGGTTTGCAATTAAACGAATGGCAAAAGCGTGGGCCACCTTCTTGTCACCATCCATACTTGTTGAACAAGGTAGCGCGAGCAGCGTCTCATGCGCGGAGTTTAAGGTAGCGGCGCGCGCACACTGTGAGTGGCCCGTAGGCTTCGGTCACAGGCCTCGGTGAGGCAGCAGCGTGCGCGCTGGCGGCTGTCTTCCCCTAGCTCAGCGCAGTTGGTTCAGGCTTCGGTCACAGGCCTCGGCGAGGCAGCAGTATGTGCGCTGGCAGCTGTCTTCCCCTAGCTCAGCGCAGTTGGTTCAGGCCTCGGTCACAGGCCTTGGCGAGGCAGCAGTGTGTGCGCTGGCAGCTGTCTTCATTTATGTCAGTGCCATTGCTGCAGGCTTCGGCCACGTCGCCATAGAGCGGCGCAGTTGATGTCGCTGTCGGATACTCCGTCGAGCATGTCTTTGCGGTAGCAGGCTGTTGCCACGTTCCGCACAAGCAGCGTGAAACAGGGGCACCCCGCACAAAAGAGCGCGAAAGATAAAAGGCTGTCGCCACGTTCCGAACCAGCAGCGTCAAACAGGGGCACTCCGCACAAAAGAGAGCGAAAGATACATAGAGGGAGAGACAGATAAGAAGAGAGCAAAGGTGTAAAGGTGATGCAGATAACTTCTTCCCATCCGCGAGTTTCAGACGCATCGCTCAGGCTCGGACGCAGGCGAACAAGACGAAGATTGCGTTGATGGGCGGGCTTGCGCCTCAGACTGAGCCCGTGTGCAGCAGTTGCAAGAGTGCTAGCAAGCGCGCGAATCACCAGCAGACAGTGGCATGCAAGCGCAAGCCATGAATGGGTGGTTCGTGTTGGCTCAACGTGTCAGAACGACTAGCCACGGAACGGCTTTTTAGGTGCACGAACGGAACGTGTCTAGTGGGAGAGCAAACAGCTCATCAGCAGCATGGAGATGGCGATGTGCTACGCGGTGGCGTTCTTGGTCGGAGTGGTCATGGGCGCGATGGCTGCGGGCCCGCAAGTGCGCGGCGTTGTGGCGCGCGGCAAGGTTTTGAAAGTGAAGGGCCGCCGCCGCGGCCGAAGATGGCGGGCGTGCTGGGCACGCTGATGTTGCTACCAACAGTACAGGGGCTTTTGCATGGGGCTGCTGGCCTGCTGCAGGTCCCGCCAGCGATCGTGGCTTGTCTTGGCATTGCGGTTGCTGGATGGAAGTCCTTCTTGTGGGGCAAGAGGACGACCAGCTGGCAAGGATGTTCTGGCGCCAGGCAAAGTTATGCGGTGCGGGGTGGCGCGGAAAAGCAAGAACAAAGGCAAGAGTGCAAGCTTGAGCGCGGAGAGGAGCAGTTCGAAGGCACAGGCCTTTGCAATGTGGGCAACACATGCTACATGAATGGCGTCCTACAGGCTCTCTTCCATTCCAAGCAGTTATGCCTTAGGCTGCAAACACATGTTGCGCAGAGGAAGTGCGCGGCCGACTGCGCCACATGCTTGCTTTGGCAAACCAACGAACTTCGACTCTTTGGCCAAGCGGACCGTGCGACCATGGAGATGTGGAAGCCTTTCTTGCAAGCAGCTGGGCTAGGTGGCGGTGAGCAGCAAAGTGCTGCGGACTTTGCCATGGCGTTGTGCTCCAAGGCGCGGGGCAGCAAGCCGGTTGTGTATAGCGCCGGTAAAACTCTGCGAAACAGGAAGGTGCAGTTATCAAACACGCTGGTAGACAGGGCGCGCGAAGAGTTGCTTGCGGGCACACGGGGTGTCTTACACGGGGTGCCTTGTTTTTGCGGGCCCTTTCGTTGGGTTGCTCCACAAAGGACGCAGGGAAACTGCAAGTTTGAGGGACTTTAGCATTGAGATCCCGGGGTAGAGGACACTGTGAAAAGGTGCTTCGGAATGCAGGTGCTTCGCAGCAGCGCCACAAGTGCAGCGTGGACACCTGCAGGAGCTACAATGTCGCGCACAGCACGGAGATGACCGAGGCTTGGACAGTTCTCCTTGTTGAGAACACGCAGCGCAGTCGCGCCACTGCACAGGCGCAGATACAGCGCACGTTCCAAGGCCAGTTGCTGCCGCAAGCTTTGAGGTGTGATGCTTGTGGGGGCCAGAAGGACGTTCTTCAAGAGTCCAGGCCTTTGTCAGCGCCAGAGGTCTTGATTGTAAGTTTCCCTCGAAACGGCCACGTGGACCCGCACACAGGGCGATGGTGCAAGAATGAGCGCGAGGTGGACTGCACAGGGCCAGTGGAAATCAACGGCACCTTGTACAGGTTTGTAGCAATAGTGGAGCATATTGCTTTAGATTGCGGTGATGCTGAACAGGGGCACTTTGTGACATGGACCATGGAGGGTGGTAGCTGGCTCCGGTACGATGACACTGTGGTGACACGAATATCTGCTTTGCCGAAGAAGGTTGCCAAGAGCGTGGTGCTGGCTGTGTACGAGACTTGCGTCGTGACTAGCTTTGCGACAGAGCAGGCTGCGACTGGGTCAGTTGCTGATATGACACCCACAGACCCTGCAGCCAACGCGGAAGAGAATGCAGCAGGAAGCATTGCCCCCGCAACGACAGAGCTGGCGTCCACTGTCCTGGACTCGCAGGCTGGGGAGGCACTGCAGTCAACAGCAGGGGTGGACGCAAAAGCGGAGAGCCTTGGCTTGCAGACCTTGCCCTTTGCGGAAACCGCTGATGGCACCCTGGAGTTCGAAAGGGATGTGGTCGCTGCCTTGTCCATCTTCCAAGCCGGTGAGGATGTAGCTGCGTTTCTCGCGAACCTGCCGGCTTACAGCGTGCGATCCTTAGCGGGCTTCAAATTGCGAGGGCGGTCGACGTTGGGGTGGGGAATTGTAAGAATGGTGCGCATGGCTGCCTGCTCGCAGGGTGGAACCACACGAAACTGGGTAAAGAAAAAGCATCCAGAGTGTTGCTTGCTATGTGCTTAGGCAGAGATTTTGGCAATGGAGCAAGCAGACGTGAAGGAGCAGTTGCCTGCTGTGATTGCCGGGTTTGAAGCTGATGAGTTTGGCGGGAAGCAGGCGGTGGAGCTGCAGTACCCGCTGTGGCGGACAAGTTTTTACCCAATCTTGGTCCTCATGGAGGCATGGAGTCGGAGCACTGGCATGCCGACCGTGTTCTACTACGATGCTTTCTGCGCGCTTCTAATGGGTCTGCTCCACAAAGAGATCTGCGTGGATGTGGCGGGCTACCCGTGTCGCAGCCGATACTGGGCCATTGGCACAGCGCGCCCTGGAAGCGGGAAGAGTCCGGCAGTGGACCCGATGGTTGAGTGCCTTCGCAGCGTGTTGCAAGAGAATCTGCACCTCGCAGCTGGATGTGGCTGGGACAAGTTTCATTTGTTAGGTCCGGGCACGCATTGTGCGGCTGTGGACAAGCTAAAGGTGACAGATGGCTACGCCACGCTCATAGCTGGTGAAGGCGGCCCTATGCTCTGCCCATCCTATCCTCAAAATGGCACTTGGAATCAATCCACACACATCAACTTTTCCAGGTTCTTGGACAGCGCTACAGGGGGCGAGGTGCCGTGGGAAACTGCCATTGACCGCAAGGCCAAGAAAGAGTCGGCGGAGGACAAGGTTGTGCCGGTCAAAGGTGTACCCTTGCAGAAGACCAACGTAACCTTTGCTTTGCTGCAGCAGCTGTCCGTGTGGCAGAACTGGTGGGTGGCTAGCGAGGTTCGTAGCCAAATTGGTTTGCCGCAGCGGTGCATGTTCTCATTCGGAGCTCTCCGGGATCCAGGCCCGCCTCGCCTGCAGGGCTTTGAGAAGCAGGTGGTGATGCCCATTCTGCGCCGCATCTTTCAGTCTGTGCTGAAGTCAATAGGTTGCAAGGCGCCGATGGCTATAGATGCGCCTGCAAGAGAGTGGAAGCTCACGCCGGCTCTGAAGGAGGTGTTCCACGCATACCGTCTGACTTGCCGGGATGTCACCAAACGCACTTTTTTTGGAGAGACGTTGGCAACTGGACTGCACAAGGCGCCTTATTGGGTGAGCACAGTGGCTCTTTTCGGAACTTTGATGGAGGAGCTGTGGCCCCTTGCGTGTGGGTGCCTGGGCCGCACTCATGTGCCGTAGGTAGGGTTTGGCTGGGAAAAGTGTCTATAGCTCAGGACCAAGACAACCTTGCCAACGTGGAGTGGCCAGCTGAGCGCGGAGGGGCTGAAGATGGCCACGCTATGCTTTCAGGAGATTTCTGTACGGCTTGGCTGTCTTGGAGGTGGATATGCGCAAGCATGGTCGTTCAGCGCGGCGCACGCCGAAGCCATCTGTAGCAGAGGCCGTGGGTTCAATTGGGTTCAAGCTGCAAAATGCACGCAGTCGGACATGCTAGCCTTGACAACCACAAGACACGACCCATGTAAACTGCATGAAAACTCGAGTGCGGAGTGGTTGATGTGTGTTTGGGCGCACGGCAGGGCGTGGAAGCGATGGGGGAGCTCCTTCGCACCTTGGTGGGCTCAGGGTGGCGCGCAGAGTGGACGCGGCGGTGCGGCCCGCCCTTTCGCAACTTGCCGGCCCCGCTATGGAAAGAAGGCCCGTATGAGGAGTTAGCGGAGCGTGGTCTTGGACAAGTGCGTGGGCAATGCTTCGACAATGGGCAGGAGCTAGTCTTTGTCAAGTTCGCCTATTCAGTGTTGCCCAAGGAAGCCAAGGATTCGCTGAAGGAAATGGGCGTTTGTCTGCAACCAAGGCACGGAGTTGTGTTCTTGTCTCGGGCAGTGTCTCGCTTCGAGGCGAAACTTTGCTTACCAGCCTCACTCTTTCCCATGTGGCTTGCAGGCAGCTTTGCAGCGAGAAGAAGGCGCAGCCGAAGCCGGCTATTGCTCCAAAGAGGCTGGGAGAGCGCATGCTCCAAAAGGCAAGTTAGAGATAGGAGGGGCAGGCTGGAATTGTTCTTCTCTGCATTGAAAGTGACAGGGTTTGCTGAACCGCTGTTCACAGGCAAGTGTACCTTCATTGCAAGTTAGTTCGCTCCACCACTCATCTTTCAGACAATGGTCAATTGCGGCTGCAACCATGATGGGAGAGAGCTTTGAACACTAATATGATTTCGTGCGATTGAATGACTATTTTGTGGGTGCACCCAGCATCACCCAGCTTGGAAGGTCAGCGACGACGCCGACTGTAAAAGAAGGAGAGCCGCCTTGCGCGCCAGAGGAGGGCCCAAGCACACCAGCGGAGAGTTGGGCGATAATCTTTCACGGGAAGCCGTGCGATGGCGCAGATGTGGCAACCTACACAGGCTTGCGGAAGGCAGTGGAGCGTCTTCTTGGACGGCGGAAAGACCAAGGCATTTACACCTTCCATGAGAAGCAGTTGAAGAGGGACGGCAAAACGTTGCTGGGGGTCTGCCAGCAAAGTGTGTGCGCCGGCTGCACACGACAGGTGAAGGCAACGCTAACCTTCGAAGAGAAAGGGCCGCTGCTTTGCGTGGAGCAAAAAGGGTGCCATGGGAAACTGCAGCCCCCGCGCGGCGGCTGCTTGTGGACATGCGCGGAGGCGTGCGCTTTGGAAGGGCTGGAGGAGAAGCGGCCAAAGGTCACGTCAAAGGATGTGCGAGAAGCCTTGAAGGCCCAGAACTTGAGCCTACGATGCAGCAATACTCAACTGCACAACTTTGTAGTGCGATTCAACAACGCAGGCCCACCACGCTCTGCCAAGAGCAAGGTGACGTTGAGCGAGCTGCAAAACGCAGCGCTACAGCACACGTGCCCCAACATGGAGGCCTGGCAGACTTGGAAGGTGTCGCAGCTCCTTGTCTTGCCGTCTTCAACCTTTGAGGCGGACAGGATCTGTGTGATGTGGACCTGTCCGGGCATGCTGAGACACGCTCAAGCTCTGCAAGAGAAGGTTGTGAAGCTTGCAGTGGACGCAAAGCAAAAAGTTGTTGCCAACGAGTACGGCATTGTAACTTTGTCCTTCTTGGTAAGCAGTGCGGTGCCAAGCAAGACGTGGGCCGGGGCCACGCACACCAAGTCCACTTCGGCGCACACAGCAACACAAGAGCCATTCCTGCAAGCGTTGGTGGACACGGAGTCAGAGGCCAACATGACCCAAATTTTCACGGAGGCGTGCGAGCTGGCTGAGAGGCACTGCGGCCTGGACCTCCGCGCGCAGGTTTGGCAAGTTCATAAGGACTACGCGAAAGGCATCGAGGCCTCGCGCCGCAAAGTGTTTCCTTACGCACGCCCATGTGATGACTATGCTCACATGCGGCGAGCAACCTACAAGGGCATGCAGAAGTACTTGCCGGCCAAGAAGACCCCAAAGGTGAAAGCGCCGGAACCTCAGTTTGTCACACAGGCAAGAGCAAGCAAGACAAACAGGCTCGTTGTTGCAGTTGTAGAATTGTGCAGATGTGTACCGAGAGCAAGCGCCGTCAACTGCGCAGGACACCCAAGACTAAGGGCAAGAAGCGGGGCGCCTCGTCAAGCCCGGAGAGACCTGCCACGCCGGCTGCAGAATTGACAAGCACGCCGGACGGGAGCACCTTTGGCTACTGGGAGAAAATTGTCCAGATTAGCCGCGAGGTGCCGACTGTGCAATTGTTCGATGCGGTCTGGCAATTGGCCTTCCCGTGGCTACGGAGGAAAAGTGCGCAAGCTGCAGAGTACTTTCAGCACACGTACTTTCAGAAAGTGCCAGTTGGCAGTCTGCAGAAAGGCTTCAGCTGCACTTCTACAATTTGGGGGGCAGAAGGACTTTGGTTCAGTGGCTTCTGGGGAGGGATCTTGGGAACCTACCCAGGCAGCAGCTCAGGAACGCAAACACTGGAGTCCTTTCATGCATACTGGCAAAGCAGCATCAAGGCCAAAGCAAGGGTATCACCGACAGAAATCTTTGCCTCTATGCAACAGCTGTTTGAAAACGATTGGGCATCCAGGTTTGCATGGGAGGAGGAGAAGACTTTCGTGACATGGCCCGCCCGCTCCGCAGATGCATTGTTCAACAGCAAAAGTCTGCGGTCCGCGGGCAGATCCCCTGCGAGGGGTTTTTGGGAGCATCGGGAGCCGCGGCTGTGTGGCAATCGCAACTACCGCCAGGTCTACATCCGCACTGGGGAAGCAGGCGGAACCGATGTGGACGGTGTGACAACTTTCTGGGTTCTGCAAAGCAGACTGCAGGGAGGCGTGATGCCTGCAGAGGCGGTCGTGACGCCGCAAGTGGCCGAGATGGTCGCAAACCTCATAGCTTCCGAAGGCCCGCAGCTCGAAAAATGGTTGTGCAAGGCTGGCATTGCCAAGGATGGGGAGTTGGAATTGAAAGCGTTGCAGAAGTACATGCAGCAGTACTGCGCAGTGTTGGAGGGGCATCTTGCACAAGCTTCCTGGCCCCGCGTGCGCCGCAAGCTGAAGAAACCAGTTCCAGGCAAGCTGTGTACATGCCGTGAGTTCTTGCTACATGGAGATTGCGAACATGTGCTTTATGTCAAGGCGCTGCAAGATGACCCCACTGCCGACATGCGGAACATTCCAACCCAACGACGCCGGGGACGCAAACGCAAGACCTGGTGAAGAAGCCACTTTGCCACACGCCTGCGAGGAAGCCATTTGGCCACATGCCCCGTGAGACAAAGGCAGCATAGTTTCATTGAAGCAAGTGTGCTACACCTGCCTTTCCAAGCTTTGCAAATACGCATGTCTTCCCCTTTGCGGCTAGGCGGTGGGTGCGGCACCACGTCGAGAGCCCGGTTGCGCCAAGGTGCACCAGGCCCGTGAGTCAGGGCGGTCGGGGTGGATGGGGCAAAACGGTGAAGCAACAAGGGGAGCGGCTGCCGGCCAAGAACATTTCTCCGAGGGAAGCAGTTGGTGTAGGCTTCGGTCGCAGGCCTTGGTGAGGCAGCAGAGTGTGCCTGTGTGTGTGTGCCCTGCAGCTGTCTTCCTTTAGCTCAGTGCAGCTGTGGAAGGCTTCGGTGCAGCTGTGGAAGACTTTGGTTGGAGCCTTGAGCTGCGAAAGCCTTTTGTCGCAGGTCTTGGTGAGGCAGCAGTGCGTGTGTGTGTGTGTGTGTGTGCGCTGTGGCTGTCTTCCTATAGCTCAGTGCAGCTGTGGAAGGCTTCGGTCGCAGGCCTCGGCGAGGCAGCAGTGTGCGTGCGTGCAGCTGTGTTCCTTATCGCAGCTTAGCGCAGTTGCCGAATGCTTCGGTTACAGGCCCATCAGGGCAAAAGGCAGAGGGGTTAAAAGGCAGGGGGGTTAAAAGGAAAGGGTAGAGGGTTGGAAAGAAAGGGGGGAGGGTTAGAAAAGAGGGGTGCGAGGGTTGAAAAGAAAGGGGGGAGGGTTAAATAAAAAGGTTTGAGGGTTAGAAAAAAAGGGAAGGGTTGAAAAAAAAGGTTCGGAGGGTTGAAAAAAAAGGTTCCCCCTCCAATTCAAACTGACTTAACATGGTGTGATTGTAGCATCCCTCGCGTGCATGCCCTCCTAGGCTATCTTCCATCAGACTCTCCTTGCTGTGTGTCTCGATCCCTCGCACGGTCAGCTGTTGTCAATTATGCCAAGTCCTACTGGTTTCCCTTCTCCCTTGTAGCATCATGGATTGGGTTCCGGATTCCCACCAACATGATGTTGCATCGGAACTCATCTCTGGTTCCAGTTACTCAGTTCCCAAATCGTTTTGAAGATTCGAACAAAACACTGACACAAATGATAATAATTATCAATAATAATCATAATAATGATAATAATGATAAGAACGATAATAGAAATAATAACAAGAACAGTAGCAGTCATAATAATACTAATAATAATAGTAGTAATAATAATAGTAATAATAATAGTAGTCATAGTGATAATTTAAATACTAATAGTAAAAGTAATAGTAATAATAATAATATACATGGAACACGTAATAGTAATAATAATACTGATAAAAATAGTGATAGTAATAATAATAATAATATTAATACAACTAATAGTAATAGTAATTAATACTCATAATACTAAGCATAACAAAAACATAAACCGTCCCTTGTTCCCCGCGTTTCTCTCGTGCCATGCGTTGAGGTCACCGGAGCCGCGGCACTGCTTCGACGGCCTGGTCTTCCGCAAGCTGCTCCTGGCGCGGAGCTCGAGGGGACGGATGGAGGAAATCTAAGACATCCACGTTGCGACCAGGGTTAAACGCCCTAATGTTGACCCAGGATCTTTTTTAGACCCGTCCCACCAGCAAGGGGTGTTCCCTCAAGTGGTCTGAATCCCCCACTAAAACGGGACACCCTATCAATCAACCAGGGGTTTATTAATCCGGGGTTGACATTACCCTCCGGTTCACTAGCATGAAATGCAGGGGTCCCTTAAAAAAGGAAAATGGTCTTTGGACTGGAGGGTATTTGTTGGGTAGTTTTGGGCAAAATCGAAGCTTCTTCTTTAGGGTTTTCTGAGGTGCTGCGAAAGGTCACAAAAGGTCGGCCTTTTATTTCCAGTTCCTTTGGGGCATTCTGCTTTCTCTTTTTTGTCTTGCCCTTGGCTTTGTGCTTCAGGTAACCCTGAGATTTTTGGTTTGGATTGGTGGTCCGCAGAGGGCATCTTTTGGCCTCCAAACCACCAATACAAACCACTAATCAGAGAGAAGCTGAGTGCTCGCGTGAGTGAGTGCATGTGTTTCTTCGGTAGGAAGGCCTGCAACGGCCTACACACGGGCGACATTGTTGGTGGGATCTCGATGGTGTCCTTTGCGGAGCTTGCTGAACGCGACTGAAGCAGGTCTTCTGCGATTGACTGTTGATGCGTCGCCTCCACTCACCTCCCAGAGAAATATTGAACTCAGGAAGCATGACAGTCAACAAAATTCCACCGGTTCAATTCCATCTGGGGGGTCCCACTTTGTCCCCCAAAAGCAAAGGACCCAGAGTTCCTTCTTTGCAATGAGTTAAAGCACAGAAACTAGTTGCACTTGCAATTAGCTAATGGCACCTGCTCCTTTTGCAGTTAGTTAAAAGAACCAATCACAAAAAAACAAGAGAAGAACAACGAAGGTGGTGTCTTGCGTGGCGCTTCGCCAACCACTCGGCCATCGCCCAAAAGTCTGAGGCCCTGCGTGCCGGGGAGGACCTGCGCAGAGGTTTGGGCAGCAGCGGCCAGAGCCGCGGGCTGCGGCGCCCGGGCCGGCGCCCGAAAGCCCCACCAGGCGCCCGGCGACGAGAAATTGGGCGCGGGGTTGCTCAATAAGACGTGCAATCTATGTTTTCTTTTTCTTTTTGTTCTTCTTTTCTTTTTTTTCCGGGTGTTGGCGTCCCTTGAAGCCAACCTTCTCCCCACCCAAAAAAAACACATTAAACAAAAAAAGAAACACACACACACACAAAACCCGGAGAAATGGGAGTTCTCGTGTCCTTTTGGCTTCCCTTGAAACCGGGTTGTCAGATTTTGCATGATTCTTGGTTAGGCTTATGGGAGTATTGAAGCTCACAGTGGGGTACCCTCACAAACACAGCTTGCTGTGGCAATCATTGTTGAGAGCTTTGCGCTGGCTGTGGCAATATGCCAAGCCTGCATGTGATTTTGTTGGGGCTTTTGGTGTGGCCCAAAGGAATCCCTGCATCAATCATGGGAAACGCAAGTCCGTTGGGGGGTGCCCATGCCAACCTCCCTGACCAGGTAGTCTCCCATAAAACAGGCAGGTGTCAGGGAGCAACATCTCTTTTCTTTGGGGGGGGACTCGCCAAGATGGTGGTGTTCCCTTTTGGTTTCCTTTTAACACGGGTACCCTCAAACAAGGAGAGACCCACATGTTTGAATGGAGTTTCTGGTTGGATTTTGAGGTAGGCTGAGGCCCTTTCGAGCATGGGTTGACATGTGGGTGTTCGAAAAGCCAAAGAGACCCCCCAAATAGTTGCACTTCTGTTGGCTTCTAAATGAACGCGCCAACCAACAGGTGAATGCCCGAAGCAGCGCTGCCAGACCAGGCGATTCATCTCAAACTTGGTTCATCTCAAGATATCTCAAGTTTGATTTTGCACATCCGCAACTGGCTTTACTGGGATACCCATTGGTCCAGAAGCTCAAGGAAACAACATTCCCTTCCTTCCAGTGACCTGGTCCTGCCCGCAAAGCATCGGTGAACATCGGACACAGGGTTGGAGGCTGGCACCGGTGAACATCAGACACAGGGTTGGAGAGGGACCGCAGGATTTCGAAGGACGACCTGTTTGCGCGGCCAGTTGGAGTGAGTAAAATTAAAAGGAAACAAACAACATGCACTAGGGCTGATTTTCCTTTCCCATCGTAAGATGGTGTCGCTGGCCCACTGGCGACCTCCAAAGCATTCGCTCCACTGAGCAAACCCCAAGGCGGCGGCGCCGGCGTCGGCGTCGGCGGCCTGGTGGCCACGCGCGCGGCGCAGCTGGCGCGGCGCTTGTGCGCCTCTTGGCCAGGCGGCGCCAAAAGCGACGTTTGCGACAAGAAGATGAGCAGCAGCAGAAGCAGCAGCAGCAACCACAACAACAACCACAACAACCACAATCACAACCGCAACAAGCAACAACAAACAACAAACAACATGTTTGGTTTCCTTCTTCGTCACTGAGCTGCACGGTGCCCGGCAGAATTGCGTGACACCGGCTGATTGCCCGCAAGACAGCCTGAAGGTAAAAGAAGCCTGGCAAGTGAAGATGCATGTGCATCGCAAGCTGTACACCTCCCGAAGCAATGGCCAAACAGGGCAATGACCACCTAGCATGACAAGGGCATGACAAGGGCACTCTGCGGATCCTGTGCTACAATGCCTATGCAAAGAAAAGGCCAGCAGCTATCGCACCGTGTGGCAAGACAGCCAATTAGACGTCTTTACCAAACGACTAGTGGCTGAGCACTTCCGACTCTTGCACATAACCGCCACATGAGTGGCTGCATACCCGAAACGACTTGACACAGAACGGAGTGCGATGCACACTACCCGCGCAGTCGCACTGAAATATCATGCCAGGCATCCAAATCGTATCACACCTGGGGCCGAGCCAGTACACGTTGCACATAACTGGCACCTGAGCACCACAAGCTTCAGCACCATGATCAGCACCACGTAGACACAAATGTTATGACAAACGTCTTAGTGCACGGATACACGGCCAAATGCACACATTGCCACAACGAGCTTGACCTCGTATTCTCCCAGCGGGTTCATAGCACCAATATCCGGGCGCCAAACCTCGACTTTATTTCTGAAAACCAGTTGCACTGATGTCAGGGTGGCTTCATCGCCTGCCTTCCCAGCCGACTTGTGCCGACTTGTGCCCAACACGTCGGTTGTTGTTGGGACACATTTTGCATTTTTGCTTCTTGTGGTTTAGAGGGAAATCCAAGTCCACACAACTGCTGACAGTTATCTTTTCTTGCTCCCGGTCCAACGTCAACCAAGTTGTGGTAGCGTCAGGATGTACAGAATGCCAGTGACAAGAACATGGACAATTGTTATAGCCAACACACAAAGCGGCAAGAGGCCGACATAAAAATGAGGCGTGCAGACCTCCATGCCCACCCGAACCATCACCTCCCACTGTGCAGTGTGCATCAAAGACAAGTAGTTCCACATCTCATCATCTAGACATAGTCGCTCATGGCTCGCCCGAAAAATTTTGTCGGAACAGCACTAGAATTTGGCAGCTTCTCGGGCCGCAGGTGCTCACAAACAACAACAGCAACGACAACAGCAGGGTACGATAGAACCGGTTTGGCATAAGCTGAATTCTGCGCTACCTTCGGGTTTTGGGGGCCATACATGCTGAAAAAATGAGGTCGACAAAAAAGGGGGAGGTTGAGTTGCGGGGCCCAAGCAGATACATGCTTCCAATGAGGTCGAAAAAAAGGGGGGAACACCTTGGAGTTGACTGAGTTGCGGGGCCCAAGCAGGAGTTACTTGTTTTGATCTGGTTGCGAATGGTGAAAAAGGTAGAACGACAGAAGTAGCGCCGTGTTGAAACTGGCAAAGCAAATGTCCGCAGTCTTGGGGTGATTCTGTTCATATGTCCGAGTTTGGAAGCAAATGCAAGAAGGGAGCTGGACGCGCTTACACAACGATCCAACTCGGGTTGCTTGACCCATATTGGTTCTGAGTGTTCACAAACCAAGTCTGCAACCAGCCACAGAACGAATCCGCCCGTTACCGACACAGCGGTACTCAAATGTGAAAGGGGTGGACATGCCGGTCTTTTCTGAAAAAAGGTCAGATACACCTTGTTCTCAGCTACACCTTGTTCTCAACTAGATGGGCCCAGGATCACTGGAGCCACGCGTTGCGTGTTTGTTGACACTTGGTCAGCTGCTTGAGCATTTGCAGCTTGAGCGTTAGGCAAGTGCCGTAGAGCTCCATCCAGACTTGCCATACTTGAGCAAAGAGGCATGCTTGAGTATTGAAATCCAAGGCCTCAAAACATGCTTGGATCTTCTTCTGCCTTCCAGCGATTGTGAATTTGGAGATTCCCGATGCCCAGACACAGGCGAGGTTGTTCATTGTGCAGATGTGCATATTGCGACAGATGCAGACTGTCAAAGCGTGACTTGCAATCCAAACACTATGCGCATCTGAGGGTTTAGCACGTGTGCGTGTGCCATTCAACTGGGACCAGACAGGCAAGACCACTACACGCGGGTCATAGTTTTGTGTGTGTACAACATGACTTCTGAAGAGGTCCCTTGCAAGGGGCGGGCCTTCATGGCTATGAAAATCAGAAAGAAAGACTTCTCAACAATGGCTGGACCCAAGTTCCCGTGCCAATCATGTGCACCAATCCAACAAAATGTCCACCAACGGATCCCTAATTGAACTGTGTATCCATTTTCCGGTGCTTGCCCTGGTTGCTGTCAGCGACTTAGGCTTTGCCCTTGGCCACAGATGATGAGCAAGAGACCGAGGACAAGCTGGAGGAGCTAAGGCTGCGAGAGGAGGAGTTCCGATCGCTGTTGCGTCGTCGTCGTCGTGGTCGTTGTGGTCGTCGTCGTCACCACCGTCGTCGCAGCTGTTGCTGCTGCTGCTGCTGCTGCTGCTGCTGCTGTTGTTGTTGTTGTTGTTGTTGTTGTTGTTGTTGTTGTTGTTGTTGTTGTGCTGTTGTTGTTGTTGTTGTTGTTGCTGTTGCTGTGCTGTTGTTGCTGTTGCTGTTGCTGTTGCTGTTGCTGTTGCTGTTGCTGTTGCTGTTGCTGTTGCTGTTGCTGTTGCTGTTGCTGTTGCTGTTGCTGTTGCTGTTGCTGTTGCTGTTGCGGTTGCGGTTGCGGTTGCGGTTGCTGTTGCTGTTGCTGTTGCTGTTGCTGTTGCTGTTGCTGTTGCTGTTGCTGTTGCTGTTGCTGTTGTTGTTGTTGTTGTTGTTGTTGTTGTTGTTGTTGTTGTTGTTGTTGTTGTTGTTGTTGTTGTTGTTGTTGTTGTTGTTGTTGTTGTTGTTGTTGTCGTCTTCGTCGTCGTCGTCGTCGTCGTCGTCGTCGTCGTCGTCGTCGTCGTCGTCGTCGTCGTCGTCGTCGTTGTCGTTGTCGTTGTCGTTGTCGTTGTTGGTTGTTGTCGTTGCCGTTGCCGTTGTCGCTGTCGTTGTCGCTGTCGTTGTCATTGTTGGTTGTTGTCGTTGTCGTTGTCGTTCTTGTTATTGTTTTTGTTCTTTTTGATGTTATTCTTGTTGTTCTTGTTGTTTTGATTGTTCTGGTTGTTTTTGTTGTTCTGGTTGTTCTTGTTGTTCTTGTTGTTCTTGTTGTTGTTGTTGGTGGTGGTGGTGGTGGTGGTGTTGTTGTCCAACTCTGCCAGGGGGTCTCGGGTTGCGTTTCAGATAACCATTGCATAGGAATCCCTCTTTGGGCTCTTTGCGTCGTTAACGGTGCTCCACAATGCGATTGTCTATGGTCAATCAGCCTTACTTGACATACACACACACACACACGCGTGTATCTTACAACCCTGTAGGTGTGAGAGAACCCAAGTGACGAAAATGACGGGACTCTGTCAGGTGGCGTTTATTGAGCAACTCTTCTTCAGGAACACACCTATCGCCTGGCAGGTGTAGCTTTGCGTGCCGCATCTCAGATATGGCTTTCAGCTTATGTAGGTAAGTAGAGGGCATCCTTCCTCCTAACTGAAGCAGCCGGAGCCTTAGACTTGTCCAAGGACACATGTTTGAGCCACCCAGACAAAACATTTGTCACCCAAGTTCCAATCCAAACTACCTCCAGACCAAAGCTCCCAGGACCCCTTATGACTTGGTTCCATTTCCCTGGGCCTGGGAGCTTCCATGTTAGGAGGGAGTGTGCAAACCTCAGCCGGCGATGTGGCTAAGGTCCATTAGGCTCCCATGCCGGGAGAAACGCGAGCCACTTTCTTCTGGGGTGGCGCTCCTCAGCTCGGACATGTGGTTTTTGGGAGTTGGTACGATGTCACCTTGGTTTTAAGGACAACAGGAATCCTTTAGTGGGAACGTGTTTTTTTCAGATTGTTATGCTTTGTTTTTAAAGTATTCACGGGAATCCGATTTTGGTCTAAGCGCAATTGTCCAAAAGCACGGGAAACCTCAAAGGTAGTTGTAGGAAGGAAAGTGCGAGGTGGGTGTTTTCGCAGGTCAGCGGCGAGGCGTATGGTGAAGGGCTGCGATTGGCTGGAGGTCTGCCAAAATTAGGGACCGCCGTCTGGCCTTTTGGACAGTGTTCAAATGGAAAGCAGTTTCACCGTTCATGATCATTTTGTGGGGGCTCCATATTTCATGAAACACCTTTTCGTGTCGAGTGAGTAAAGACTAACCACCTACTTGGTTTCCCCGTTGGCACACAAGCCAGCTTCGAGGGAACGTCAATTCTCCTCGGGAGATGCGACACCTTTTTCCAGAAACCGGCCCAAGGTGCCTGGGAGATTGCATGGTTCAAAGAGAAAACATGGCAAAAGGACATGAAATCGATCTGCAGATGTTTTACGGCGATATGTTTTGTCTTCAAATTGAGACGCCCTCAAATGGATGGTCTCGCTTAGCTTGTTGTTTTTTTGAGGCTGCGACGAGATACGACAACGTCGGATTTTCCCAACTCGATCCTCTCAGAAGGGCCTTCCGGCCAAGACTCCCCTTCCAGGCCTTCCCGACCAGGTAGTGGGTTGGCTCCCCTCTTGGCAGACCAAGCCAGGCCGCAAGCCACCATGCCAAGCCACAAAACTGAATAGGCCCGAGAAAGAAGACATGAGTGGTTCACCTGGCTCAGGTGTATGCCAGCGGTATTATTGTAGCACTTTGGGTCTATGGCCTCCTGCAAGAGCGCATCATGTCGCAGCCCTACGACGGCGTCATGTTTGGCGACTCCGTGCTGCCTGGATGAGGAACTTGCGTGTCAGCGGAAGGCACCTGGCAGGCCATGAGAACATAAAGGCGGCAAAGGCCATTGCAGCTATGAGCATTTCCAGGTCTGACAGATTGCGATCCTGACAAACACAGAATCATTGCACAAACGCACCACCACGCACACACAGAGGCTGCTGCTTTAGACACAACTTTCTCCAGGAATGTTTGCTGAGCGAGCTTCGGGGCCAATGGCCGTCGCGTCAGCTGAGGTTCCTGGTCTTTTGCAATAGGTTCGTGGCGATTTGGTGCCTTGGATTGAGAGCCGGGTGAGAAACATGGCGGCCCCCTGCTGAGCGAACTTGCGGATGCCGGTCATTTGGGCGATTCCGCCTGGTTCCCCCTGAAACTTTATAATAAGTTGGGCAAGAGCTATGCTGTTTCAGTGGCAAAACTCGATGGTTGGCGTATGTTTGTTGTGTTCACATGCGCATCACATGCGCCCACAATACAAATATACATATATATATATATAATATAATATATATATGTATACATGGTGCCTCCCCAAATGTCGACCGCTTTGTCTGTCTTCATCTGTAATGCCCAATACATCTGACTCTGCACAAGGAAAACACTCTCCAATTCAACCGTTTGAATTGAACCGTTCAAGCCGTTAACGGTTTAAACCGTTTGAAGCGTTTAAACCCTCTCTCAGAGGAAAGGTCTGGGCCCAAAACCGTTTAGCGGTTTAAACCGTTTGAACCGTTTGAACCCTCTTTCAGGTTCCTGTTCAGGAAAGCTTTGTAATAAATCCAATTAAAGCCCTTCGTTTAAGACACGCCTATCTAAATTATCGTTAAAACCAGACAATCTACTAGAATTATGTCATTATCAAGCTATATTTAAAGTATGATCAAACAATACGATTGAGCACGTTTCACATTATAATCTCGATGTTTTTCAAGTTCGATTCTAAAGGGGGTCTCTTTTCTAGAATCGTGTTTTCAAATTTTCTATAAAACAAAAGTCAGTGGAGTTTTGTAAGGAGCTTATCCTAATACGATTTCTAGTTTAAAGGAAACCTAAATAGGTTGTCCTTTCCAAAGAATTTGAAATTGGCATTTAAATCGTGTTATAGTTATATCCTTTGATCAGACATTAAATTGAATTAAAAAGGACATACTTCTAGTAGAGTGTCTAGTTTCAATGAGAATTCAAGTAGGCGTTTGTTGAAATGACATTCTCAATTGGAATTATTATGTCAGATTTGCTTTTCTATCATTAAGCTTTTCAATTTTCCAATTGGAGTTGAGATAGACATTAACAGTGAAACATCCTAATATAATTTCTAGTCTTAACGATGATGTAAATAGGATTTCCTGTTGGAAGAATATGTGGAGTTGTGATGCTTACTTCAAATTATATTTTCAGGAGGACTTTCTTTCCAGGAGGTTGTTTCCCAGCTTCTAATTAGATTCTAAATATATTTTAATACGGGACCGTTGCTTTGCTGCTTTCCCCAAAGCACAACAACAAAGGCATAAACCACAGCAAACACAATTGAAACCAACAAAGGGTAGACATTTGGAGGGGGTAGCATATATATATATATATATTATATATACATATTATAGGCTCGCAGAAATACATGCATGGTTGTATCAAGTTTTGTCACAACATGTATTGACAAAAGTAAATACGCAAATATACAACTAGATAAATTTACTCATAGAGAAATAGATATACAATTATGCATATATATATATATATACATACGCAACTACATAAATAAATAAATAAATAAATAAATAAATAAATAAACAATCACATACACACATAAATAAACAAACACATGAACGAATACACAAATAAACAAACACATAAACAAATAAAACAAATAAATAGATATATCAACAACATATATTATATTGGTTGAGCAGAGGCACGGATGGGAGGCTACCCCCCAGCCGGGGGGGGGGGGGGTTGGTTTCGGCGACAGGTTCGGGCTGGGCATGGCCACCGCCCAGGGCGAGGAGGTGGGGCTGAAGGCGCCGGTTTGGCGGTACATGATCGTGCCGCTTGGGCCAAAGTGGCTCAAACTGAAAGAGCTTGTTGTTGTTGTGTTTTAGGGTTGAGTTTTTAGAGTTTTAGGCTTGGTTGTGTTTTTTTGACCCGGTCTTTCATCAACAATAGGTATTCTAGGTCCCCCAGTAGTGCCCTTCCTCACCCCGTTTTGGGGGGAGGGTTCCCCTACTAAAGCGGGCTAAAGCAAAAAACAGGTACCCTTATTCTAACCTCTGTACTGGAGGCCCTAGGCTAGGGTTACGCAGGTTTGAGCCTTTAGTTCTTTGGACTCCGTGTTTTTGAGCCGCGGCCAAATGGTGTACAGATCTCCGAGATACTGAGATTCATGGGATATTTTTTCGGAGTTTGAGTCATTTTTTGGAGTTTTCCACACTGGTGTACTGTTGTGAGGAATGTCTGTATCAAAAATCCGTGTGCTTGATTTCTTGGTGTATGACAGTCATGTGTTCGTGATTTGCTCCCTGAAAATCAGCATGGAACCCCAACCGGAACTTCCCCAAAAGCGGTTCATTCTGTAAAAGGGCTTCTTCTTTTGCAGGGCTTCACCGATCTTTAGATCCAGATGGCCAAAGGTCCTTGTCCAACGTCTTCGCGACCACTTGCCAGTATGAGGCGCTGAAATACGCGCCTTGGAGGATTTCGGAGCTCGAGCCTTTTCACCCAGTGGCTGTGAGTCGTTTGTATGAGCTACTCGTGGCTTGCCTTGGGTGAAGTTCCGGGTCAAATCGTTTCCCAAGAGTCGGAAGAGGCAGAGCCGAGCGCTTCGAGATCCCGATAGCTTGTCTGATGCCCCGCCAATTGAGAGGCTGTGCCCGGCAGACAAGACGTCGCTTTAGGCACTAGACAGACACTTTTTAGGCATCAGGCGCCAACTTCTGGTGTGTCTTCTGCTGTGAGGCGCACAACGCACGAACATGGGACTTTTTGTGTGATCGAAGGACACTTTCTAGACACAGGAAAAGCAGCTGGGACAAGAAATGGAAGGCAAGGGAATGGCAGGGAAGGCAAGAGAAGGGAAGCCAAAAGACTTACGAAGGATGGAGTGCCGTATACACTTCCTAGAATTTCCCCCAACCGCGCCCAAAGCCAAAAACAATCATTCTCCCTAGCCCCACCTTCAATCGACTCCAGATTACTCACAAACACCCACCGAAATCCATCCTAAACATGCACCAAACCCCATCGAATTCTGTTCCGAAGCCAACCTTCTCAGCTTTCAAGCATAGTTTGTGATTGCTGCTCGATAAGTGTTTTGGGACGCTCCCCCTTGGGTGGATCCTTGGGTGAACTGCCACGTTGCGAGCGGTCAGGAAGTCCAGTTTGACTGTCACGCGATTCAAGCACAAGCATCATGGCATTTGGGTTGTCTTTTTCTAGGGACCCCCCCCCAAAGAAATAGAATAAATAAGCATACATATGGCGGTTTTCCTTTTGGTTTCCCTTTAACACCCACCAAGAACGGTTACCCACCAAAAAGGCACACCCATCTCGAACTCCCGATTTATCCAAGTATTCAACTCGCGGGCATCCCCTCGGATGCAAAATGGGTGTGTAAATATGCGAGCTGCCTTTGAGCTGAGGTCTCGTTTCCCGTGCAGATGCTGGGAAAGAGCTTCAAGATGATGCCCGTGATGTTGTGGGGTATCGTTATCTCGCAGGGCACCCAGAACTTTTGCCAAAGGATGGTATCAGGCAAGATTTCAAGCTGCTTTATGAATGGGCCCAAACTTATGAATGGGCTTTATGAAGCAACTTCTCCATTTATGAATGGACTGCCTGGACTGCTTATCTTGAAATTGAATCCTTGCAATCCAGGCAATGTTGACTCTGGATCTCGTGGAATTGTGCCGGAGGCTTCTCCCAAAAGTTTCGGATCCCCTCAACATGGGAGACAATGGGATATTAAATCAACTGGATTTCCATTAACTGCTCATGAGTTCATAGATTCTAGCTCTGTGCTTGCTGAGGTCCAAGCGATACGCATTGAAGGACCGAATCCGCGTAGCGGACTGCAATGCTCTGTTTGCCAAGTCGGCGCCTGAGGTAGGCGAATCATGCAATGTTGCTTGTATGCTTCCTATCTCACGTGTTCGCAGTGGTGTTTCTTTGATCATTGGCTCCCTTTGGCTAATCGGAAACTATTCGCAGAGCCGGAGCAGCCGACTGAGAGGTGTCAAATTGCGCAATCTTGGAGTTTCAAATTTCTTGCACGTGATGAAGTACGTGTCTTCCCGGTATCACTGCACCACCCGTATGTGTCTCCGCTTTTTTTTTGCGGGGCGTTTTTGAGGTGTGTCCATAAGGCTCCCAGAGGCACTGGCTGTAGGCGTTTCGACGCCTCAGGAGTGGGCCGTGGCCCTGCTGGTCACCTGGGGTGTTACCCAGTTCCTGCTCACTGGGCCCATTGCCAGCCCCTCCGGGGTGAACGACAGCGGCGCCAGCAACAGCATCAAAGGCGCGAGGTGTCGCGAGGTCTTCGGAGCCGTGTGTCAAGCTGGGATTGAAAAAAAGGAGTCTCCACCACACATGGGTTTCCATTGGATGTAACAGCCATCCAAAGCCAGTCCGTGGATTCGAGCTTGGGACCCTGTTTCTGGTCAATGCTTGATTTCAACCCCTGGGTTTCAACATTGAGCAAGTTTTGGCCAACCATTTGGAAGAGCCGCTAGTTTCACAAGTAGCTATTGGCTGGCGGCCCAACTGTACTGGCCCAGAGTTACCAGGTTGTGCTTCTTTGCTACAATATGTTCTATATGTTTCTCACGTTGTTGATCAGCGAACCTTGGCTTGCTTTGGTACTCACGTGTACCCGCAGTCAAAACAAATGAGAGACGCCAAAGGTGGAACACGCTCTTTCGAGAGCCAAGGAGCCCATAAGATTCAGCAGCTTCCGCTCAGCAGCAGCTGCTGCTGCCACCGCAGCAGCAGCCGAATGGAGGCAACAGCACACACC